CCGCTGCAGACGGGCTGACGTTAGCCCTGGCCGCTGCAGACGGGCTGACTTTAGCCCTGGCCGCTGCAGACGGGCTGACGTTAGCCCTTGCAGCTGCAGACGTTAGCCCTGGCCGCTGCAGACGGGCTGACGTTAGCCCTTGCAGCTGCAGACGGGCTGACTTTAGCCCTGGCCGATGCAGACGGGCTGACGTTAGCCCTGGCCGCTGCAGACGGGCTGACTTTAGCCCTGGCCGATGCAGACGGGCTGACGTTAGCCCTGGCCGATGCAGACGGGCTGACGTTAGCCCTGGCCGCCACCCTGACATTGGATCATGAATTGACCAAAACTGGAAGCTAAAGACAGGAGGTTCCCTTCATTCCCAGTCCACCCGTGGGCTCCACCAGCTGCAGTAGATCTTTCTAACCTCCTGCTCCTCTTCCAGGTAGCTGCTCAGCGCCAGAGAGCCTTGGCCATCATGTGTCGGGTTTACGTGGGTTCAATCTACTACGAGCTGGGTGAGGACACCATCAGACAGGCTTTCGTCCCCTTTGGACCAATCAAAAGCATTGACATGTCCTGGGACTCCGTCACCATGAAGCACAAGGTCACACCAGAAGCAGACTTTCACAGAGCACCTGCTTTGTAATCCTCTGTGTTCCCCAGTCAGAACTTGTCTGTCTCTGCAGGGTTTTGCCTTTGTGGAGTATGAAGTACCTGAAGCGGCTCAGCTGGCGCTGGAACAGATGAACTCTGTGGTCCTTGGAGGGAGGAACATCAAGGTGAGAGCCCAGGAGTCCAGTGACCTTATCATGCACGACCCAGCAGATGCCTTAGTCCTCAACATGGCCGACCTGGTTTCGAATCCGACTTGTGGTCCTTTGCTGCATGTCTCTCCCCCTCTCTCATACCCCCTTTCCTGTCAGCCCCTACTGCCGTAAAAACTTCAAGATTGACACATTATTTGTTCATCTTCTGAGGGGTTAAGGGAGCCTTCTCTCTGCCTGATGGCTGCTCGTTAGCAGGGGCACCTGGAACCGTGGAATTAGCAGGGAGCTGCCTTGCCCCTGGGCACACTGCCCCATGGCAAGGGAGGAGGATGAGAGTGAACCCTCAGCTTTCTGAGTTGAAGATGACAACCTCAGTCATAAACGCTGTGTGGGAACAAAAAGACATGAACTCCTGCATGTTGCCTTGCAGGTTGGGAGGCCCAGTAACATTGGCCAGGCTCAGCCAATCATTGACCAGCTGGCGGAGGAAGCTCGTGCCTTCAACAGGATCTATGTGGCTTCGGTGCACCCGGACCTCTCGGACGAAGACATCAAGAGTGTCTTCGAGGCCTTTGGGAGGATCAAGTCATGCATGTTGGCCCGCGAGCCGACCACAGGACGCCACAAAGGCTATGGCTTTATTGGTGAGCGATCTGTCTGCTCTGTTTGTCCTCGCTCTGAGCGTCAAGCCACCTCCTGACCTGAAGGAGTATGTCTTCTTGGTGCCCAGAGTTTGACAAACCTCAGTCAGCCCAGGACGCTGTGGCCTCCATGAACCTGTTTGACCTGGGGGGTCAGTATCTGCGGGTGGGGAAAGCTGTGACTCCACCCATGGCTCTCCTCACGCCGACGACTCCTGGAGGACTCCCAGCAGCAGCGGCCGTGGCTGCTGCTGCCGCTAACGCAAAGATCACAGCTCAGGTAAGCCATGTAGCTCCGCCCTTTAGCTCCACCCTTTGTGTGTGGCTTTAGTATGAGGGTGTGGCAGCGGTGGCCCTCATTTGGCTAACCTGATACATCCTAAACTGAAGCTAATGTTCGGTTCATCGGTTTGGCTTTAGGCAGACGTCGTTCCAATAGCTGTACATTCAATAACCACATTCACAAAGGAAGCAGCAGCTAACAGGAAGTCACAGTACCAACCTCAGGACATCCTACTGGGGGAGGAGTAATGTAGTTTGGGTTAGGATTGAAGGAAGTGGTCCAGAGAGCTGGTGCTTGCTCTGGCTGTCCACAGACTGAAAGACACCTGGACTCTGCTCATCATTTTCCCTATCCAACCAAGCCTACCACCTTCCCAGCGTTCTGTCAGTGGGATAAAGTAGTATGAACTGGTTCACTGTCTAGTTCTGTTTCTTCTCTACCAGACGTCCGCACACCAGGCCCTCCAGTCACACAGCAAACGTTTAAGGTGAATAATTCTTCCTGCCGAGCGGTCTGTAGTATAGATCAGCAGTCAGGAAGTTAGAGGTCACCATAATCTCCACAGATTCAGAGTATCTGCTTAGATCTGAACACCCACCGTCTTCAGTAGCACCACTACCTTAACACCACTACCTTAGCAGCAGTACCTTTTACACCACTACCTTAGCAGCAGTACCTTAA